GGCGCATTCAATTCACTTCCCACCGCCGTAATGTAGCTTCTCTTTTCCTTTACTATAAATACTTTTATGGAAATTATTATGGTCAAATATGGTACCCAGACTTTATGAATCTAAGCGCATCATTAGATTGGCGACCAGGTCTCATCATTAGATTGGCGACCAGGTCTCATCATTTTATAGTTGGAATGATAGATGTAACTGCAAGTTCTATGCTAACAGCTTCTTCTCTCGCTTATGAAAATCTTTTCCGGCTTCTTCCTTCCCGGTGAACTTTGATCTTCACAAATAAAATGCAATGTCAATCGTTATCTTCTGTTTTAATTCGTGTTCTTTTATTGTTCTCTCTCCTTAATAATGTATCTTTTCTCAAATTCAGTAACCACCCCGCTGCATCTTAGTGGCTTTATTCCCTTTCTTGGGTTGATAAATAAAATGCAATGTCAATCGTTATATTCTGTCTTAATTCGTGTTCTTTTATTGTTCTCTCTCCTTAATAATGTTTTCTTTTCTCAAATTCAATAACCACCATCCCCTGCATCCTAGTGGCTTTATTCCCTTTCTTGGGTTGAAAAACTATCCGTTATATATATTTGGACAGGGAGATCGATATTGGTCATGATTCCCCTTGTCGCTACAGTAATTATATCCACGATAATACGCCATGATACATTCCCAGGTCCATGAAAGCTTAATGCTAAGTTATGTGCTCTCAAACGAACTGGGGGACAGCTTTTCTATAGAAAGAATCACAACAAACTGTTGTATCTAAATATGTTTATTATGAAAAGTGGGAAAGAGAAATAAAATAAAAAGAAGTGTTTGCAGACAATGTAAGTCTGCAGACTTAGCTTAGGGGAATAGACGTTCGTATATCTTGTTAAAAGACTTTGTTGGAGAAGAGATCCCTTTCTGTCCACGCTAGCTTCCGTAAATTGCTCTCACTTTATAGAGCTAAAGGCGAAAGGGCAGCCTCGATTCACAGTGTTTGAGTAACGTGATGGAAGAAACAAAAAAGGATGGGTCTTTGACGCTTATATAGATAGACGCTTATATAGCTATAGCTAGCAACCCTTAAATTGACAGTTATTGGGATTTCCTTTAGCCAATCATCGTCCTCATTATATTCTGAGTTTGATTAATCTTGTTCTCTGAATAACTGTTCTAAATTCCAGTGCTGCCTCAGAAAAATACGGTGAAGGAATAATAATTGTTGAGTGGTATTACAGAGGACTGAAGATCAACTAAATGGCAGGGGGTAATTAGAGAGATGAGCTTTTAATATGTTGTCAAATGGCAACGCCTCAGCAACTTTTATTCAGTGTTTGAACAAACAGGTCACAGTTGCACGGGAATTAGGTATTTCTTTCGAGTAACGAACTGTGAGAAGCTCTAATTGTTATTTCTGAGCTTTAACCGCAGGCCTGTAAATTCTCGTAGCGAAAGCTGAGAAAGTTAAGATTCTTCTCCCTTATGTACCACGTCCCTTCAGGACGTAAGCGATCATAGCTCTCCACAAGTTCCTGTGTAGCTCTTAATAAATTCTGTCTTTTTGTTATCTCTCCTAAACCTTGCTCCACCATCCACTTACTCAAGCTCACTAAGTAGATGATGCTCTGTTTACCTCTGTCCCTCTTGCCTTCAATCTGTCCTGTGAGTATCAGCTTTTCCAAACCTTCTTTCCTCATTGTGCCCTAGGAATTTCAACTGTCACTTCCTGATGTTAAGTATAAGTTTACTTTTTGCTTCCAATTTCTCTAAAACTTCGTTGTTGTTCACATTTTAGATCCAGCATCCTTCTGTAGAACCATATTTATGTTGCTTAAAGTCTCTTCTTTTTTTTTAGGAGATTGTCCAGAATTTGCTGCTATACAATGTCAATTGCTATCTACTGTCCCCCTGATTATTGTTTTCTCTTTCCACTCATTATTAATGTTTCTCTTTCTAATTCCTCCACACTAATTGTGTTTTAGTGGCTTTACTGCCTTACATAGTGTAATACCGTTTAAAAAAATATCGGAGGACTGATATAACTCTTTTCATTTTTTCTAACAAAATTTTCCTATTTCTTAATACTTTTCTTAGCTTTTGGAATGCATCTTTGGCTATCTCATTGTGTCTTTTGATTTCGGTGACGCACTTTCCATCCCCCTATTAAACCCTTTCCCAGATATTCAAATATCTCTACTTGTTTGACTTTGGCATCTCCGATTTGTAATTTGCATTTAGAGCTCATCCTTTTGCTAACAACCATGTATCATATCTTCTTACAATTGATGATTAGTCCTTTCTTCTCGCTTTCCTTCACTACCTTCTAGTGAGGAGACAGATCCTAAAATCACGTGATAAAGAGGCATAGGTAATAAACCTGTCCTATTAACGCATCGCTTTCATTTTCTATGAAGACGCACTCTAGCATCTATACCAGTGGTTTTCAACCTTTTTGCTGCAGCGGAACCACAAGGAAACACTCCAGTGGCTCGAGGAACCCCTGCAATAAATTAATTGTCTTATGCAAAAAAAAAAAAAAAGCTTTCAATTATTAAAATAAAATAAAAATACTCATCTTCAGATTTATTTACAAACAAATACAAAGACAAACTGTAAAAATATTGTATACGTACATATGCAATTTTAATCTTGCTTCTACGGTTATTACACATGTATTAAAAAACTTCAGTTTAAAGTTTATTTTCATTAAAAATTCAATGAGAAACTTGAGCCTGATGTTTCTTGCACAAATCTTTAATATTGGGTCATGTTTTTGACAGATACACACAAAGTTCATCTTCAACACACATCTGCACAGGAGAAATAAAAATTACTGTCAATCATAGAACTTGTGTAACTTCTTGCGGAACCCCTGGGCTTTACTGGCGGAACGCTAGGGTTCCGCGGAACCCTGGTTGAAAACCACTGATCTATACAAAAACACACAGATAGAGGTTCGCTTTTACGAAATATATCAGAAATAGCGTAAAGCGAAGAAGCATTTAGTATGAATATATATGGGAATTTTTTTTTAATGTAGAATACGAATGGAATGGAGATGATTCGACCTTGCAGCGTATGGTGGGTCTTAGCTGTAAAGCTCTGAACAGGTGGAAATAAGGAAGGTATTTCGACAGAATATCTTCAATGGAAATAGCAATAGGCTTGCGACATTTCGTCTGAGGGAAAGGAATTGTAGAGTGGAAAATAATTCATCACCCACAAGATCACGGAGATGCTTTCAAACTCAATGCTGGAAAGAGAGAATTGGATAGCTCCAACCCAGATAAGGCAACAAGTAATAATCCATTTTTGGTATCATTTGACTCTTGTGAAGAGAGGGCGTGTCAGAAGCAATCATGTACTTTTTGGAACAGTAGAAAGCATATTTAGAGATGGATCCTATAGACGAGTTCATGATGAAGTTGAGGTCTTGGGTAGCCTTATATTCCAGAAGAGGTTTAAATCAAGTGGCCTTTTTGAGACAGCCATTTATCGTGAGAATTCAGGATCTGCTTTGTTGTGAAGGTATTGAACGTTACAAGTCAGTTTTTCCCCGACATTGTTATGTTAGGTTGAGGTCAGAAGAAAGAGCAGCTTATCAACTCAGACTTAAGCTTTTATATTTGCTTCGTCGTCAGATTTGTCTGATGCGAAAAAGAACTTGAAATACCATTCAGCAACACATTTTTCTAGGCACTGAAAAATCTGACCTCAAGCTACAGGCCATTTCAAGGTTAAAATCATACTTATATGCAATTATTGCAGTACTGTCGATCCTAGAGAAATTCTCATGCAAAGGTATGGTCTTGAGTCTGAGAACGCTCAAAAGATTATCCCATTAGAAATTAATAGTAATCGCTCCTTCGAGTTACGTCATAACGGATAATCGAGGAAAATGTACATCAAAGGATTAAATGATATGACAGATATGATTTTTTTTTAATGTTTTGAAATCCTCGGAAAGGAAAGGAATATTTTTTTCGTCTGGAAACGCTTGAAATTTTTCTACAGAAATGAATGGTGATTACTTCTTCAACTTACGCTAGATATATTCCCATAGAAATTGGTAGTAATTACTTCTTCGATTTACGCCATTTTACTTAATCGGAGAGAATTGTAATTCATTATTTTCCCCCTGCAGAAATTAGTGGTAATTACTTCTTCATTTTACGCCATTTCAGATAACCGGGAAAAATTGTATATCAAGGTTTAAATGTTAAACGATCCACCTTCTTGAAGGCCTTGAATATATAGAAAGCATGCACATGTCGTACGCATTTTTCTTTTTTCTTTTTTTCTTTTTTGTCTTTTTGGGTATTTTTTGCTTAAGAAATAGGTGAAAGCAACAGACTATTGCATTTTCTCTTTGAGCCTTAAAGAGCAACTCCGTAATTGCGTGTGATCTGCGTCTGGAACGCAGGCAAGAATCCCAGCTGTACTTGCCTGAAAGGTGTTCCATGCATGACTAACGGAGATAATTGTCTCTCGACGTTTAAAATCACAAAATTGATGAGGAGAGTAACCAATTTGGTTGCCAGCGACTCTCGCAAATTGGAGGTGTAAATAAACACACCCAGGCATTGTTTCTGAAATTTTGCTTTCACCCGTTAACCATCACCTATTCCTGTCTTTATCTCAAAATCTATGCTTAATACTTGTTCAGCGATCCGTTTTAGACGGATAATTATGGCGAAGAGATCTTCATTAAATTGATTCAAATATTTTTTTTTACAGCTTATCAACCTTTTGTGGGTTATTTAAAGCCAAAGCATATGTTGTAAGAATAATTCATGTTTTTACGAGTGAGCAATGTTTTTGAAATCATAATGATTTTCTGGTTAAAATCCTACTATTTAACCCATAGCTAGGGGTAGATGAAATGTTTCATACCTTTCCCAAGAATAATTCTACGTAAGGGAATGTAACGAACACGACTTGAATGCGAAATCGGCTCTCCAGCTTCTCACTCCAAGCCGTTATCCATTACACAACACGCACATCCAAGCTCACATTACACGATGTTCGCAAAACGTCACCTATACAAGTACTGACCAGACTCGACGTTACTTAACTTCGGTGGTCGAACGAGAACCGGTGTTTCGCGATGTGGCCGTAAAAACAAGTGCAGCTACATATGAGGATCGTTCAAATGTGAGATTTGTGTGTTGTTCGGTGGAAAGTATTTATGTGTGTGTATGTATGGGCCTGTGGGGTTTAGCCCCACAAGAAAGAATGAATAAGAAAGGAATATTAATAGGATCCAAGATCGAGCAACAACTGCAGCGGCACCTGCTCAAATTCATTGATTGATTAATTCGTTTTCTACGGCTTATCAACCCCTTTCTGCAGGTTATTTAAAGCTAGGAAATAATTTTAAATTGTAAGAATTTTTTTGTTGAGATAACAATGTTTAGTGACACAATTTTTAATAACTAACTCATAACTTGGAGAAGAAGGGATGAATTCTTATCTTTTCCAAGAGGTTTTGTGCGCAAGTAAATATAACGAGCCTAACTGGGGTTGGAACTTGGCTCTCCGTTTAACAATTCCGATGATAAGATTTTTCCCTTCCTGGTGTCCCGAAAACATGAATTTAAGTGTGCTAGTAGATTGGCAGACATCTCAGAGTTTTACTGTTGTACTAGATAGATACAACTGCCAGTTTATTTATATATATATATATATATATATATATATATATATATAAATATATTTATATTTAACGTTTTTTTTTTTTTTTTCTTATAGATACAAGTATTTAAGTAAATGCTCTGTTTATAATAAACATTTACCGCCTGAACGTGAAATTTCTTTGAAAATGACGGTCTTATATTGAACCGTCATTTAGGATGCCTTACCGTAAATGACGGTTCCGTATAGGATGCAGGTTCGAATTTGTCAAAGGACGAATATTTTCTATGAAAATTTCTCGGACATTCAGGCCGGTAAATGTTTATTATAAACAGAGCATTTACTTAAATACTTGTATCTATAAAAAAAAAAAGAACGTTAAACATAAAAATGTCTTTAATAAATAAATTGTCGGACTTTGTCCATTTCTTTATATATAATGAAATGGACAAATTCCGACAATTATTTTAAGACATTTTTATGTTTATACATTCTTTTTATAGATACAAATATCTAAGTAAATGCTCTGTTTATAATAAACAGTATTAAACTGTCGGAGGACGAATATTTTCTATGAAAAATTCTCGGACATTCAGGCTGGTAAATGTTGTTTAATACTGTTTATTATAAACAGAGCATTTACTTAAATATTTGTATCTATAAAAAGAATGTATAAAAATGTCTTTATCTATCTATCTAACTATATATATATATATATATATATATATATATACACACACACAGAAGGTAACTGAATAAAAGTAACTCCTTATTTTATGTATGAGTAACCATCAAGAAGTCCTAACTTAACACCCTTTTTTGATTGGAATTGGTTAAAGGAACAAGTCTACTTTCCCAAACCAAGACTTTGGAAGAACTTGAAAGGCGAATACAAAAAATTATGTCTTCCATACCACAAGAGTTCCTGATGAAATCAATTGACGTCATTTCTGGGTTAGATTTGGCAAAAACTGGTGCCCATATCGAATTTTAAATAAAACCTCATGCTAAAACGCTTTCCTCTCATATCCATTTCTTGTAAAATTATAGTTAATAAACAAATTATAAGTTTGTTTTTTTTTTTAAATGGGGAGTTACTTTTTAATTTAAATTTCACTTTGCATATATATATATGTGTGTGTGTGTTTGTGTTTGTGTATGTGTTTGTGTGCGTGTGTAGGGGATCGATAGATAAATTGTCGTCTAAATGACAAACAAATGAAAATAACACCCACATTGCATTTGCACTCAGCAGAATTGCGCAAAAATATATTAAAATACTAAATTAAAGTAAATTTATTTAATAAAATCGGAGTTGGCTTCAACCACAGCTTCCAGACGACTTCAGAATCTCCTGCAATTCTTCTGGACGGTGTCCTTGTTTAAGTTTGGGAATGCTGCCATAATCCTAACCATCAGTTTATCTTTAATGTTACAAGAAATTTTGTTGGTCTCTCGCACAACTGCGCTCCACAAATAATAATCAAAGTGGTTGCAGTCTGGGTACTTATGTGACCAAATGTAAGGGATGATGTAGTCGAAGAAATTGTCTGACATCCATAACTGGGTTCTCCTGGTAGTGTAGCATGGTGCAGAGTCCTGTTGCAAGTATTAAGGTCTTCCAGCAGTCAGTCTGTTGACCCAGGGATGCACTACCTCCTCAAGGCACTTGATGTAGGCTTCCGTGTTGAGTCTAAAGCCCTCACCAACAAATTCTGGAATTCTTTTCGTATTAGAACGATCAGAGTTTTTCGAGCTACCGTACCTTCGTAATCACCATTAAACTCATCCAACTTTTTCCGAGTCTTCTGCACTGAACTCAAATTGACATCCAGACACTCTGAAATGTTCGACTTGGATCTTCCGGTGCGAATACCAAACAGTACGGCAGGACCTTTCTAAATTTCTGGTGGAGTGAGAGCGTCATGACGCTCTTTTCTTTTGTACAGACGATGCCCAACTGACCCTAGTGTACTGTGCAATCGACAAAATCAAATACTAAGAAAGTGCATGCACAAAATTAAAAAGTATAAAATGGCGACAATCACATGCAGTATATATATATATATATATATAGTCATCCACGGACAGTGCAGCTAGACGTCCGGTTGCCTCTAGTTAGGATCGAAACCCGACTGAATTGGCGTCAGTCGAGATTCTACCAATAAGCCGTTGGCACACGGCAGGGATGAAGGTGAATTTAAGCGTATTTATTTTTAGATAAACACACAGTGACTGAGAGAACTCGATTCCATTTATCGAAGAGTCCTGCATTAGTAACCGTAATAGTCACTATTTACAATCCCACACTTCCTCCCCTATATATATATATATATATATATATATATATATATATATATATATATATATATATATATATATATATAGGACGGTATTGAAATCTTTTCGGGTCGACGGACTTTTCAGCTCCCCCTGCTATATACATCCGCCATACACTTTATACATATGGATTCTTTTTCTCCTGAAATGACAATTATGGTCTTAAAGTTACAACCAGGCATCAAGACAAATTTTACATCACAGATGCTGATGAAAGGAAAAACTAAATCGAATATTTTGCGCTTGAGAGCTAAAATGAAGGCATATTTAATATAAATGTTGCTTTTAACAATATTGTTACAAAAAGCCTTTTTTGCATCAATTGAAAATCCAAAATTATTGCCGAAATGGGAAATTCTATAATAATCCAAAAGAATAAAGAAAAATAAACAGCAGAAAATAGCGACTCACTAATCTTTACTGTATAACTCTGCAGTTTTCAATTGAAACAAAAGAAAACATCATTGATATTTTCCTTATTTTCAAATAGCTTTCATCTCTAATTGTCTTTTATTAACATAACAATCCAACGTCATTTTTGAAAAATAACGCGACCTTTTACTTTTTTTAGTCTACGACCTTGAACAAGTTAATTTAGATCAAGTATAACAAATTTAATATAAGAGAAATTAAACAAAGAATAGGCCGTGACAGAAGTAGTTTTGCCCAACACCGCACATTGCTACGAAAGCAAAACATGATTCATGTTCTTATATAGCCTAGTCAGATTGAAACTCTCATATGGATGCCATGCATGGTTGTCTCAAAAAGATTCCTTGCTTTAAACGTCTTTTGGCACATAAGTCCGCCAAAGACCTCGATTTCATCTTGAACTTGTCTATACGGTCCATCGCTAAAGATGCCTTCTACAACTCCAGAAAGTACCTGGTACGCTCTGTCTTCCCAAGCATCAGATCAGACCAAAAAAAGGATTATTACTTGTTGCCTTATCTGGGTTGGAGCTGTCCAATTCTCTCTTTCCAGCATCGAGTTCGAAAGCATCTTTGCTTTCAGTTTATCTTTGGTATTACAAGAAGTTTTGTTAGTCTCTTGCTCAACTGCGCCCTACACATAATAATCAAGGAGCCTGCAGTCTGGGGAGTTAGGTGGCCAGATGTAAGGGCTGATGTGGTCGAAGAAATTGTCTGACAGCCATAACTGGGTTCTCCTACTTGTGTGGTATGGTGCAGAATCATGTTGCCTAATATAGGTTTTTCCAGCTGCTACTCTCTTGACCCAGGACAGCATTGCCTCCCCAATGCACTTGATGTAGGCCTTCGTGCTGAGTCTGAGGCCCTCGGCAATAAATTCAGGAGTTCTTTTCTTATCAGAACGATCAGAGTAAATTTTCCGAGCTGCTCATCCAACTCTTTCCGGATCCTCTTCACTGTCCTCGGATTGACACCCAAAGACATTGAAATGTTTGTATCAGAGCATCCGGCGCGAATGCCAAGTAGTACAGCATGCTGTTTCCAAATTTCTGGCGGCGTAAATTGTGTCGCGGTGCTCTTTTTCTCACAGACGGTAATGGAACCTACACTCTGATACTGTGAGCTATATGTAACATATCTTGAAGACAACATCCAGTTAAATTACAGCTCTATTGACACACCCCTTATTTTTCTATAATCTTACGCGAACACAGAATGCGCTTTGCTAGGGAGCAAAACAAGAACTCGCAAGTGATGTACAGTGCTGTACACGTAGCCATGAAGCAAGACGACTTGGTCACCCAGTAACCACTTACATTGACCAGTTATGTAATGACACAGACTGCCTCCGTAATGACCTTCTGACCTTGATGAAGGACCGTGATGGTTGGCGTTATAGACTCGTGAATGTCCGAGCTAATAATAACCGAATAATAAAATTGAAAATCTGTTACACGGGACACTTGAATTCTATATAGTCACTAAAAGAACTATAAAAATAGTTCTCTACATTTTTTTTTTTTTTTTTGGCAATTTTAGTATATATTTGTATTACCCTCAAAGCAGTTAAAATAAAATAAAGAAGAGAATTTGCATCTACCTAACATTATTTAGTTTTGCACTAAAACTTCCTTACCAAACATACACGCGCATAAAAATACTCAGACCTCACTTCTAAAACTATATTTTCAGTTACCTCGGTCCTTATCGAT